AAGTTACTTGAAAAAGTAATGCATTACAATATGATACCTGAACATTGTCACTCGCTTGTGACTTCTTCCCAGATTTATCATCTCTGGCAGTCTGTTTCTGAAAGAGACAAAAACATTTTCATTCCAACTAAGCCTAAAGCCAACGCAGTGTCTAAGCAGAAAATGAGAAGGATAACAGTCACCCACACAACTGTGTTGAAAGGAGCTCCGAAGGTCTGTCTGCTTCAGTTTTTTCTTGGTTGGTACTTTAGGCATGTTTTGACCGTTCCGTGTATCTTTAAACAGAACAAATGATGAAGAGCTGAGAAATATGTTTAACTTGCATAACTTGGTTATTTTAACAATGTAACCTTAAAATTAGTGACAGTCATCTATATTTCTATTTCTATGTTTCCTATTATTCTTAAATTAGTATTACCTTAAAACAGTATTGTGTTATTCTTCTAACATTAATTTTTAATTAACATTTTAAGTCAGAAAAGTACGTTGTTGTTTTTTTTTTTTTTGCCCATCTGTGTGCAGTTTAATTGGTTAGATTGTTTTGTCCTTTTGAGAGGCTGGTACACAGTCATTTGTCTGTGATTAGATTTAGGGTTTATTTTATCAACAGTGAATGCTTTGAATATGAGAGCTCGATGTCTGTTATCGCAGTGGTTTTCTACTCATTTTGGCAAATATAATTCATCTGCCATAGAACTGAACAGAATGAAAAAATACAAAACCTATGTCAATAGATACAACCATACATTTTAAGAATCCACTATTTCAGTGTAAGTTAACACCACCCTGATCAAACACACCCGTTAGGTAGGCCTAATTTTTATTTAATTGTCTGTCTTCTGCAATCCACCACTCCAGATTTTGTTAAGCCTTTCAGTGCACTGGGCGTTAAAGAGACACCGAGAACAGATTGGGTAATTCTCAGTTTGATAGAGTCGGACAGAGGATATTTATAATTGCTATTTGCCGTATCCACCTGCATCAATACAGTTGGATCTGTGACTGTCGATACACGCGTTAACCTGTTTTTTGCTTGCTGCAAATTTGCAGACAGGAAGTCGTAGGCAGCTTGCATGCAAACTCAATCATGGTGACAGGTAGCCAAAAATATTTTTGCAACACCTGAACAATACAACCAAGGTAGATTATTTAAAAATTACAGGCGGGTGTGTGCTGGATGGATCAGGTTTGGCTCTGAACTATGACGATCACACATGATCATGCAGGGCTGTCCTCTTAGATTAAAATTATATATTACCGAATATTTAAGGTATTCTGTAATATATAATTCCCCTTAAAAATATTTTTATAGGCCATTCTGTTTTTTAAAGAAATAGTTCACCTTAAAAATATAATTGGCATCATAAATAAAAAAAATAGTAAATATTTACTCAAATGTTGTTTCAAACCTGTATGAGTTTATTTCTTCTGTTGAACACAAAGAAAGATATTTTGAAGAATGTTGATAATCAGACAGTTGTGTAACGTTACTCCGGCCATTGAGATCCAGAGTAAGAAAAATAACGTTATTACTATGTAAGTGAACGGCTACTGTCAACTGTTTAAATTACCAATATTCTTCAAAATATCTTCTTTTGTTGTGTCACAACGAAGTCGATCGATGACAGTGATTCGCTCGAAACACCATTAAGTTAAATTAATCCAAACACCTTTGATAGCATTGCGTTTTAGAGCCTTTTTGGATTTTAAAATCTTTCACAAGCGCATATTTTATCCTTTACAGCATTTGTTTGTAACCAGTCAGTGTAACGTAAGTGATTTGTGTTAATATTGTTGAGGTAACTAACGTTAACGTAAATCATTCGATAAAACAATGCTAGAAATATATTAAAAGTTGTTGTAAACATCTAGGGTAGTATTATATTTTGTTGAAGATGATATTTTGTTTTAAAAAGTTACCTTATTTGAGTTAACCGTTTAAATAAACCAGGAAAAAGTGAAGTGAGAGTCGTCTGTTTTCCTTCGTGTGTTTGAAGTGTGTGATCATCATCGGCTTCGGCTGATCTCATGCAGCGCGCGTGAAAGCAAATTCTTCTTCTAGTGTTTTGACGGGTTACAGACCATTGTAAAAGCTGCATACCGCCACCTACTTTATTGGAGTGAGTAAATGATAAAATCAAAGTACAGTTTTTGGTCAAATCATGGCTTCATAAATCTCTAGACCAGATTCTAGACCAGATGAAAGTTTTCAGCTCTTAATAGAACACCAGAAACAGATCCAGTTGAATAAATAATAAATTAGATAAACCATTTAAATAAAGCAGAAAAAATATAGATAAAAAAATAGCCTGCTATTGCTTCATATCTGATTGTATCAGAATCATGGTGGCAAAGGGACACCGTTGTGTGAATGTACTTGAGATTTTTTTGAAGACAGCACAAGAACAGGAATGGCATTAAAAAACTCCATTCTTTTCAACTCTGACTCTAAATTATGGTGGGTGCAAACTACATGATTAGACCATATTGCCATTTTAAATGTTCTTTAAAAAATAATAAAATCTGCCACTAAGCAGCATTAAAATATCAAGATGTTTTTTCTCATTCAGTAATACACAATTGTACAGAATTGTAAAAAATTCAATTGTATAAAATCTCAGGAATATTTATTTGAGGTATGAGGAAATTCACACAAACAATAACAAATAAAAGAAAGAAAGAAAAAAAGCTGCTATACAGATTTGAAGAAAAAAAAAGTTCTTCAAAATTTCAGTAGCTCTGAGCAGTAAATTTATAATAAATAGAACATAACTGAAAAAGTAAAACAGCATTCATGTTATTCACTTTTTGAGCAAAGAGATTTGAAGTTTACAGTACAAAACACCAGCTCAATAACCAAAATGAGACATTTTCTTCATATTTACTTCTCTTGTAACTAAGGCTGGAAGCTTTTCTTGCTGTTTTGAACCAATAATCAGAACAAAAGGCAGTTGAAGGATGACATGTCTAATTAAAATATTTATCTGACTAGACTACAATATATTAATCTGTTTCCATTAGGATACTTTATTATCTCTATAAAGTTCACCACCATTCATTTCAGTTTATAAGCTGTTGGATGAGATCAAACATGGCTGAGTTGCATATTAGAACACACTACAGTATGTTAAAAGCATATATGTCCTGTGAAGCAAATGGTACAGACGTGTCATTGAGATGTAAATAACTCGTGTGCAGTTCAAGTGTCCAACTTCATGGTGTAGTTCTTTGGATCTTCGGATTATTATTTCTTTCCCCTCCTCGTTATTACGTTTAAATTTCACGTTCTCATTAAGTGCTCCAAATACAGTTTTGGATGCATCACACACAACTTTAAAACAGAACTTGAAAGTAATAATGCTCAGTTGATGTTTGTAGTCCAAGCTATAATTTTTTTTTTTTCATACCTCAGAGGACTACTAAGGATTACTATACAGGTTCATAATTAATGTTGTTAATGTATTATTAATTCAGTTAATTATTGAATTAAATGTATTGAATATTCAATTAATCACTAAAGTGAAGGTCATGGTAAGCGACTAGTAATGACTCATGTATTACCAATACTAATTATTTAAATCAGTATTTAAGTAAAAACATAACTCTCTAATGATGACTGAAGAGTTTTTTGTAAGGTTTTGGATAGTGAATGACTCAAATGTTACATCCTTTACAAGAAAAAATGATGTGGACGTCGAAGATCTCAAAAATGAAGTTTACAGCAAGGCACACAAAGCACCTTGGGTTCACCGGCGTCAGAATGAACCCCGAACATTCAAATCTTAAACCTTTTCTCCTGTTACTGTCCTATTAATGTAAATGAAGTTGCTCTTGTAGTAACAGCTGCTTAAATGTAAATTGAGGATAACAATAAAACCTCTGTGCCCACATCTTTGATCTTCTTTCAAATAAGAATGGTTTAAGGTGATAACATCTATTTGAAGCCCCCTAATCAAGATGGTTCTTGAATACCTGCTGTCACTTCCACACTATAGGTTATAAACGTGACTCTGTGATACGTTTAAGATTGTAAGGAATTGATTCTATCATAAGCTCTTTTAAGTGAAGGAACATTTCAATATATATATATGAGTTCAGATGCAAAAGCCTCTAAGTGCCATTTGAAATTTTCTTCTAAAATGATCATTTTTATCAAGCTTGTATATTTAAGTTCAGTAATTTCACTTAAATGGCAATGAAGATTACCTATTAATTGCCATTTAAGTGAAATTACTGAACTTAAATATACAAGCTTGATAAAAATGACCATTCTACAAGAAAATTTCAAATGGCATTTAGAGGCTTTTGCATCTGAACTCTTCATTTATATATACATACATTGGATCGGAGCATAATTTCTAACATATACAGTATTCAGTACTTTTGTGGTAAGAACACTGCAAGTACAAAGTGCACATATTGTAAAATAAAGTGCAACCTTGTAAAGTTTTGGATTGTGATTCCTTCCAATGGATTTGGAAACACTTCAGTCTACAAGTGGCTTATGAATTAATTATACATTAATTCACATTGATTATGAACCTGCAGTTCTTAATAGTCCTAGGTATGAAAAAATTTAACTAGCTAATAGTGAACTACCACATTCAACTAAGCACTAGGGCTGTAAAAAGATTCATTGCGATTAATCACATCCAAAAGTTTGTTTAGATAATATGTGTGTGTGTGTGTGTGTGCTGTGTATAATTATTTTGTATATATAAATACATATGCATGCATGTGTGTGTATATATATTTAAGAATTATTTGCACGTATACTGTATGTATATATATATATATATATATATATATATATACAGTATTTACGTGCAAATAATATATAAAAATCTGAATTTGTTAGTTAACAGTTCGCGTTAATTATAATGCATCACTCATTTGTTCCTGTGTAGTTATTCTTTAATGATGGAACAGTATTCCAAATAAATAAATAAAAATTGTATCCATAAGAAATATGTCAACACTCATCAAACCTTTTCATTGAGTCTTTATTGTAATTAGCATGAGTAATGAAGGTTTTTGTTTCACAATTATACACAAAAAGTGTTTTTATTATTAATAATTCTGATTACATTTCTCACAGACCGTTCACAAAATTTTCCACACCAGATCCCCGAAGCTTCTGAACATGATAATCACTCAAAACAACTATTCGACACAACAATTCACACGCTAATGAAATAATAACTAATAATAATTAATTACATTTATATAGCGCTTTTTCTCAGCGCTCAAATCTATTTACATGGGGGAAATCTCCTCAAACACAACCAACATAAGGTAAAACGTAAGTGTTAAAATGAAAAAAAGTGTTAAAATAATAAATTTAAGTGTAATCTCCTACAACAAGTACAACATTAAGATGAAGGAATGTAAAATGAGTATAAACATAAATGTAAAGTTAAAAGAATATATAAAATGCATATAAAGTATGAGCGAATGATTTGTTAAATGAGTGTGGAAATATGAATACACAAGCGTATGAGCAATTAAAGAAAATAATATCCTAACTATTTTTAGCCTCACATGAATGAATAATTTTCACTGTTCCTCTCTTGACATGTTAATCCCACAATCGCCTGCTAGTGGGTTACTGGACTTTAAAATAAGAGACACTTCTGCTGTTGAACATGCAATCATCTCAACAAATGATATGAAAAGTAAAACCCATAATGACAATCTCTCTTAAATGAAGGCTTTGCAGCAACTTCCTCCCAAAGTAATGTCCATGTACACATGAGGATGAGGAACAGCTCTGAAGAGCCTTTCTGCTGAGGTTCTCTTCCAGTAAATCCCTATATGCTATTCACGCAGAATCACATCAAGAAACATTATTTAAAAAGTTAATAAAAAAAACTAAAATCTTCAAACTAGAATACATGGTAATATAAAAGAGAGAAAAAAATGTGTAACGGGACTGGCAAATCTCTGTCAGATATTTTTCCTGATGGATTGGTCTTCAATCAGGAGACGAAGCTCAGGTGTCCCTTTAGTTTTCTTTCATTTTCTCCTCTTCAGTCTGCTGTTCTTCCTTAATGGGGATGTTTGCTTCACTTGCATCCTCAATTTTCCCAAGGTCAAAATGTATACATTTAAATTTTTCCTTTTGAAGTAATATTATGATGTCCCTTCTTGGCATGATCTGTGTGATGATGCTCTCCATGATGGACTGCATTGAGTATGAAAACTCTATAACACTTCCAGTTATTTCACCTTGTTTGTAATCAAAGCCACCAGAGTGCATGCCAATCAGATTGCAGTGTGCATCAAACACCGGGGAGCCAGATGATCCATGAAAGGAACAAGAGTCATAAGTTATCTGGTTCCTGTATAGATATGGCCAACATCCCCATGACACATATGGACAGGACACATTCTCAGATATGTGTTGGTTTATACTCTTATTCTCTGCTCCAATGATTAGGCAGGGGTCCATCTTTTTAACATCACAATCTGGGTGTCCGACAATGTAGATCCCACCACTGTTGGGAGAATGGTGCTTATAACAAGTGAGCAATTCAGTACAGTTATCAGGTGCAGCTTCCAGTTCAAGAAGAGCATAATCATGGCAGAGCTGCGCATCTTTTTTATATCTGTAAGCAATAAGCTCACTCTTTGCTTGGAGATTTATTACCTCAGATCCCAAAAACTCATAATTGAACACAGCTGTCAGAGTCCTTGAAAGCTTGTATGTGTCAGAAGCTTTAACAACAAATTTCTCAACAACATGAGCATTAGTGAGGATGAATCTGTCAAAGAGTAAGAAGCCGGTTCCTCTGCGAGAATTGTCAACTACAATCACACACACAGAGTCAGACAGATCCATGACTTGCTTCACTTTGTTCACCTCAGTGAAACACTCAACAACACCTTTATCATATTCTTTTTGCAATAACTTTTGATCCTGAGGGTTCTCTTGCTGTTTTAATACCTCTTTTAATACAGCCTGCAGACTTTTCTTAATCTCAGTAAAGAATGAATTTCCAGAATCACCAGAAGAATTCCCAGAAGTACTCTGAGTTGCAGAATTGCCAGAAGTACTCTGAGTTGCAGAATTTCCAGAAGTACTCTGAGTTGCATTCCCTTCAGTTGAAGGATCTGTGGCGTTTGTCTTTTCCTCTTGAAGTGTTTTTTGTTTGGTGTGTTTAGACTGTTGGCTGTGTTTAACAGACTCACCATCATTCTTGTCAGGTGCTCGTGCCTTTTTATTCTCAGCATTTACATTGAATTTCTTGCCATCACACTGATCTACAGGCAAATGTATTGCATAGTTTACTTTTTTATCATCAACGAGTTTACAGGTCACCTTGTCAAAAATGTCATCACTAAATCTGCCATCATCCCGAAGAGCCGTTTCAATAGTGTCTCCTTTGTGTGCAAATACACAAACATAGTCAATGTTGTATTTCGAAAATAACTCCTTTTCCCTGCTCTTCATTATTTTTTTCTTTGTCATCCCGCTCGTTCTGATGTAAAAGGTGACTAGGCGTTCAGGGTCAGTATCTGCAGTTGTTTCCTGGTTTGTAGATGCAATATTTTTATTTTCGTGGAAGTTTATTTGTAAGGTCTCATCATCTTCAATAAGACAGCAGGGGAAATCTGTCTTCACAGCTGCTTCATGGTGTAGTTCTTTGGATCTTTGGATTATTATTTCTTTCCCCTCCTTATTATGTGTAAATTCCAGGTTCTCATTAAGTGCTCCAAATACAGTTTTGGATGCATCACACACAACTTTATTTGGCGCTCCATCTTTAAAACAGAACTTGAAAGTGTGGGTTTTTCCTTTTGCGTCCTGTAAAAAAAAAAAGTACAAATAATTTTGGTATTTACCCCTAACCCTTGTCAAACACAAACCATCAGATGTAAACTCAGAACTCCTTTCTGAGAACTATATGTGCAAAGCTGGGTTTTTTTAATGTAGAAATCAATAAGGTTTATTCCCACACAAATTTGATAAATTATTTTAAAGCATTCATGAAATGCATTTTCAAATATTTATATTGTGTTTCTGGAGGTGAGCTCTTCCTTACGTTGTTCAGAAACACAAGTAAATGTCCAATACTATGATTGGCAAAGTTCATTGCACTGTATCCACACCCTCATTTAGAGAATGCATTGTGTGTGTTTTGTTGCTCAAGATGGCCTGAGTCAGATTAAAATGAACCAATGCAAGTGCGACGATTCCCTACGAGGACAAAATGGCATTACCGTAGCTTTCGATGCAAGATAAACCGGCAGCATGTCGAGAAAAATTAAAGAGTCCGTTGTGAAATGAGACAAATATATTCTTATTCAATCGCTTTTGACTGATGGATAGACACGAGTTTTTAAGAGCACACCTGCTTTATTTACATACATGTGTTATGGAGCATTTGGAAGAAAATCATGAAGTCATCACAAATATGGCGATTTCAGAAAAAATCCTGCTGTTTCAGAAGGGTAGAAAACTACGGAAGCGTATTGCATTCACTTGAAGAAAAAAAAATCGACTCTGTTTTTCTGAATTAACGAGTTAATTATCTCAAAATTACGAGTTTTTGCTCTGTTTTTCTGAATTTCTGAGTTTCTGAGATAATTAGCTCGTTAATTAAGAAAAACTGAGCAAAAACTTTTTTTTCCCAAAAAAATTATCTTGTAATTCGGAGATAATTAACTTGTTAACCCTTGTGCATCAATTTAAAAAAGTTACACATAGGTAAAAAGAGGACAAAAATGTCCATGTCAAAAAACTGTCATAAAAATGTGACGCTTTGGAGCACAGACTTAAGTTTGGTATCATTTTAAAGAAGACCCTTTGCAGATTATTGCTGAAGTAAAAGAATAATAATAAGTAAATCCAAAAAAAAGTTATATAGGTATAAGTTTATGAAAATTATTTATAAAATAATATTTTATATAAAATATATATGTTTTAAATCAGGTTGAACTCAAAACTACAATAAAATCAAAGCCATAAATCTAAATAGGTTGTGTTCCAAATTTGAGGATGATATCTCAAAAAATGAGCTTTCATTAACAGTTTGTTTGGGCGTAGGAACATATTTTCCCCATTGGGTCCCAGCAAAACCCCACTGGAGCTCACAGTGATTGGATTTGTTATTTGCAGTTTTTCTCTCTCAGTCTGACAAACACACACATGCGCACACACACACATATTTTTTTACAACACACATACTAACCACACTCTGACATCCATACCAACACACCGACACAAATATCGTTGCATAATTTATCCAGTTGGCTCTATAGTATGCCGAACCAGAAAACAGGAATAAAGCGACATTTGTTTTATAGGCCAAACTTAAAAAAAATGACACCATCTGATAAAAAATAAAATTTTGAAGCCTTGCCATCAGAATGAAAGCCTCTTAACAAAGATTGCATAATTTTATAGTTAACTGAACCGGGGATTAAAAATGGCAGTTTTAATGGGTTTCAATGGGGACATTTTTGTCCAAAAGGGGCTGAGAGGGACTATTTTTTGTACCTAATGCAAAAAAAAATTTTTTAAAGAAAATGACGGTGAAATAGTAAAATTCCAATAAAAATACACACCTGTGCCAAGTTTTTTGCAGTTAGCTTTAACACAAGCAAAGTGATCAAAAAAACAAAACTGAAAAGGACAAAAATGTCCACAAGGATGCACAAGGGTTAATTCAGAAAAACAGAGTATATTTTTTTCCTTCAATTGAATGCAATACGCTTCCGTCGAAAACAAACTTAATTTAATTAGTTTCCTCCCATAAATTTAGTGTCTGAAAAGGAAACTCCTACAAATGCATTTGCAATAAGATTAGCCGCAAAAATAACCCTGTCCACAACTTTTAAGCACTAATTTCTCACTGCGTATCTTCGGTAAATCCTGACAGTTGTTTTTGAACGCCAAAAGAGGGTTTGTGCTGGGTATTTCAAATCCATGGAATGAAGTGGTTCGAAAGGAGGGGCTTGCATAGCTTCGAGAACTATAGAAAGATCCCAGATAGGAACCGATGGGGGGGTGGGGGGTGGGGGGGGGTACGGAGGATTCATCCTTCTAGCTCCTCTCAGGAAGCGGATGATCAGCTCGTTTGTATCCAGCGTGTCCATGGATCCAGATCTTTGTCTGTGCACCATTTAGAAAACACAGACCATTTGGACGCGTAGAGCCTTTTCGTGGAGGGAGCGCTAGCATATATGATAGTGTTTATCACTCCTTCTGGCAAAGCAACAGGTAGTCATTGATCACCCGTGTATACAGGGCCCAGCGCTATGGGTGGGGATGCCAGATCGTGCCGCGAGCTTGAGAGAGGAGATCTGCTCTGACTGGAATGGGCCACGGGGCTGTCAGTGACAGCTGCGTAACTCCGGGAACCAAGTCTGATTTTCCCAGCGTGGGGTTATGAGGAGCACCGAGTGGCGCGTTTCCCTGATCCTCTGTATTACCTGTGGCAATAGCGAGACGGGAGGGAAGGCGTAAAGCGGGCGGTTGGGCCAGTCCTGGGCCAGCACGTCCTCGCTTTTTGAGAAAATTATTGGGCAGTGAGAGTTTTCCTCTGATGCAAAGAGGTCTATCTCTGCTCTGCCGAATATGCGCCATCACTTCTGGACTGTTTGAGCATGCAGGGACCATTCCCCTGGAGGAATGTTGTCTCTGGACAGACTGTCTGGGCCGTCGTTCAGGTGTCCGGGCACATGCGTCGTTCTCAGCGAGCGCAGATGGCACTGGGATCAACTCAGTATGCGTTCTGTCCCATGCCAAGGGGGTAATCTATCGACCGGAAGTTGAAGCCTCGCGGGAGCTGACATCTTGTAGCAGAACTTCACTTGCGTTAGCATTCTCATTGACTCCCATTCATTTTGGCGTCACTTTGACAGCGAATAACTTTACATCTGAGGCGTTTGAAGACCCCATTTGTCCTTTATTTATTTCTAAAGAAACACGACAATGTATAAAATGCTCCATTACCTTGTAGCTTATGTTATGGCCCCGTAGAAGCAGTTTTAGTGAAAGTAGGCTAACGATCGCGTCATACCCACGCGACTCTCTGACGCATGTAGAGAGATTACCGTATGGACAGGAGGAGAAGCTCGTGCGCAATCGGGGAAACGTGGAGGCAAAATGACAAAATAAATAATCAGAATAGCTAGCAAAAGTTTCTCCTTCTCCTAGCTCATGGACAGCTCCTATTCACACTCTCCACCTCTGCATGTTTTGGAAGGGAATGATTCAGATTTCTCATGCCACTGCACTAGATAACAGACGGTTTGCTCACGTCACATCTACGTCGTCAAGCTCTGTTTGAGTCTGCGCGTCAGGGACGGAAGTGCTAAAAAATCGCCAAAAACGGGCTTTAGTCGTCTCAATGGAGTTCCAATGAGATGGCTCTGTCCATTTCTTATACGGTTCCTGGATCTGACTCCGCCCTGACGGTTTAGATAGGATACCACAGATCTGTTGTCCGAGCGGACCAGGACGTGGTGACCCTGAATGATCGGGAGGAAGCGCGTGAGCGAAATTGTGTTGATTATGAATCAATTAAATCTTGACGCTGTTGATGTTGATTCCTGTGATTATCATGAGGACATAGTCAATATCTCCTAGAGGTTGTAAATAGTGTAACTGAACACAATTTGCTATTATGATAAATTGTAATAATCATGTCTAATGAAATCATAACGGCCAATGTTGTGAAATAATGCGACGTACATTTAACTTTATTGATGTCACCTGACATTTTGTAATGTTTACATTACAATCAAAAAACATAAATGAAATTATACTACACTATAGCCTATTTACTTCTGATTTAGCAGAAATCATGTAAAACGTTATAAGCCAGCAAACGTGATGGGCAACTTTATTATTATAAGTAGTCTAACACTTGACAGTAGTTCAGTAGATGTGCAGTCACCATAGAGGCAGTCACGTGGGAATAACAGTTATTTACGACAGTGCAAGTACACCACAGCGGCTCAAGAGGTCACTGTTTTACAAAAATATCAGAGAATGCATAGAGTGCCTTTTAATGTGTTTTGCTCTATGGTTTTACTGAATAAATCATAAGGTTTTCTTGCATTTATACGATGATCTCTGTGTTAGATCATAAAGTACTTTTATTATTTACAGATATATGATAATTATTGTGTGCCTTTCTGTTGGGTTATTCTTTCATTTAATGTATGTCAAATTTGCTTAAAATGGTAATCGATTCCATATACTCGTTTACAAATATTTAATGTAGGCTACAAATCACCATGGCAGTGTTATTGTTTTGTTTTTAAGCAGGATGCAGTTTACAGTGATTTAAGCCAAAATGCAGTTAATTTATGTCTTGACTAATTCTATAATCAAAAATGTATATATTTTTTTAAAAAAATCTTTTTTTCTTCGACAGATCTTTATGAAAACATTTGAAGACAATGCAAGAATTCAGAATATTAGAAGTTCAGCCATATTCAGAACACAAATAAAGATATTTTTAAAGAAATATGAGAGATTTCTGTCCCCCTATTGACTCTAAAAAATTCAAAGATATCCAACATGAGAACATTTTACACAGTGTCCTACCACGGTATTGGGTGATGACCCTGTGGGCTCCACATCACCCCTAGAGCTGTCATCCATCTGTTAAAAAAAAAAAAAAACAGAACCATGAAAAACTAAATCGTGCATTGATATATTTGTTAGACTTGGAACAGTGGCAATGGAGTGTCCGGTGAGTATCAAACCTAAAACTAATTTTCCCCCGCTTTACGTCGGTTTGGTGTGTCCCGGGAAAAAGCCAGGAACAGCAACACGCCCGACCATGACTCGTCACGATTCGTTCACGAATTAAATTAATAATTTACAGTAGCTATTGGATTTAATCAATCATCGAACAGGTGCGGGGTCAGGCGAGAGTAGGCTAAAGAAGGTTTTAGCTGATGCCCAAGATCGCAGAATTTAAAATCACAGTCAAACGCAGAAGAGAAGAAATATATGATTCCTTTTTAAGGAGTCAGATACTTCCAAGTTTACATTGCAAATACTAAAGGATACCTGGAAATCTTACCTTGTCTGAGTAAAAAGGGAATTTAGATGATGTAGGTCAGAGTCTAAACGTGACGACTTAACTTCAGAGTGATTCTATTCTCACTTCATTCAGTCATTCGATTGCTCTGATCTGACTTCCTGCTCTCCAGTTTATATCCACAGCAAAGGGAATCGACCAGAATGATGAAACGAAAGCTATTCATTTGCATAAAGTAGCAAGGAGAGATGCAGATGAGCTACACCTAAAAATTCATAATAATGGGCCTCTTCATATTTTACATTAGTGATTCAATGTAATGATTAGATAATCGACTGTACAATAAACAATAGGCTACTCACAGATTTTAAAGTTAAATTATATAATCTTAAATGATAAAAACATAATAAAGGTTTTCCTTGCACGAGTTCACATCAACATGTAATTATTATGGTAAAGGTTATAAGTAGGCTACTTGGCGTGCTGTCTGGGTGGAGGGCTCCTCCGAGCTCCGAATTTCTGCCCAGGGTCTGACCCTTGTCTTGCATAAACATATTTCCTGCATGTGTTAATTGTTACATTACTTGCTTCAATGCTTGGTTTACCTTTGTCAATGCTTTTACTGTTTGTGTATAGAATATATTATTCTTATAATTTAGATCTTTATATACTGTATATGTTTTAAGAAGACACTCCATTTCTCTTGGCAAGATAAATACTTGTAGAATCACTATAAAACAACAGGCATGAAAAGTAAAAAGGGAATAGAAGTTATATATAATAGATATATAAGTGAAATGAGTACCGATATTTGAATAGCCGAAACAAGTCTGTATTAATAATTCCTAAAAAGCTGACATCAGTTTATCACAATCTTACACATTATCAATTATCAGTTATTATCAATGAAGCTGACTTCACAATAAATCTTTCATAATGTATACACTTTGTTTGTTATAATTAGAGGATTTTCCAGCATACAAGATTCAGTTCTCAACAAAAAGTCTGTTTTAAGAGGTGAGGGGAGTTTATCTTAAATGTTTCTGATTGGCCTTTGCGTTCAAGAAATCAACACATGTCTGTGATTGGCTAAATCGCTCAATGCTGCAAATATGTTATAGAAAGAAACTCTGGCCTGTAAATCGTTTCTATTAATGTACAAAAATGTATTCGTTTTTTATTAGTTTTTCTCATGGGTGCCCCCATTCATTTTGGCGTCACTTTGACACCGAATAACTTATCACCTGAGGCGTTCAAAGACTCCATTTGTCCATTATTTATTTCTAAAGAAACTCGGCAATGTATTAAAGGCTCCATTACCTTGTAGTTTTGGCCCCGTTGAAGCAGTTTTTGTAAAAATAAGCTAACAATTGCGTCATAATGAATCAACTCTCTGTCGCACAGTAGAGAAATTACCATAGGAGGAGAAGCTCGCAGGCAATCGAGGCAAATCGAAACCCTGAGCCTTGGAAGCCCTTCTAGTCCAAGGATAGAAAGGAAGAGGAGGGGGTTAAGTCTCGCTGCAGCCGGACCACCCCTATAAAGAGCTTTTGTGCTTCTTCCAGACCCCTTTTCAGTTCAGCCGGCTGGAAATGTTCTAATTACTATTGCTGTTTAAAGTTTAAAGTTCTCTGTTCAACTCTTGTCTGTTTGACACGTATGCCAAATATGTCGACTCTGTAAAATATGAAGTCAAACAGAAACTTGCTATAGTTTCGAAAAGAACTTTTGATTTCTGAGAAAAACTCTGGGACTTGCTGAGTTGGTTTTGTTATGTGTGTTTTTAATTCCTTTGACGTGCATTTTTGTCTTTGGTGTGTTTGAAAATGAGCAAGTTGAATTACTGGATATGTGTGTGCTGTCAGGTTTCTATTGGTTTCCTGCAGATTCTCCTCCTCTGAGCTCCTCAAACAGGTTCGGCACCATCATGATGAGAAAACATCACAACAGTAAAATCAGTGTTTCAGAGAACATCAACACACCCACATCATGTTATACACACCCAGTTAACAATGGCCATGTCAAAGGAAATTAAAAACACAAAATACTAGTTTTGCAGTATGCATGCAAATGTTCACCTATTTGCCTACATGTCCAGTATAAAACAAAGCATATGTGTGGAATATCGTATCCCAAAATGCTTTTATTTTAACTGTCACTTTCCAGTGTGACAAATGAACTGATTTAACATTTTGATCATACTGCCAAGAGTTTTATTTCAGAGCTGATCTCTGTGGTCACCACTTGCACAGCTTAATATGTTCATGATAAAACATAGACATTGTTTTTTACAGTAAATATATTTAGATAGACTCTAAGGAACCACACTGAGAGACCTGACATGTTCAAATATTATACACTCTTATTTCAGCGCTGGCCCTGCGCTGTTAGAAAAACCTGTAAAGAGTGCTGAAGAAAAAGACAGTGAAATGGAGGACAAGAAGAAAATTAAATCGTATGTGTACTTGGAATTTTGTCTTTGTGTGTGTTTAAAAAATAAGCATAATTGTTGAGTAATTAGATGTGTTTGTGCTGTCAGGTTTCCGTTGGTTTCCTGCAGATCTCCCACTTCTGAGGTTCTCCACCATCCCGATGAGAAACTCCTGCAGGAGTTCTTCCAGAACGCACTCACCGCCGTCAGGAACATGGTGTGTTGGTTATTAAAAAATATATAATCATCTTTTTACTGTTGTTTTTATTGTCACTGATATACATCATCTGACTGACAAATTTAATTTGTTTATCCAAAAGCAAAACCAGCAAAAGCATCTTTTAGTTATGGCAAGAGGAATTCATGATGTAGTTCAGAAGAATGAAATATTCATAATCATGTTCAAATAGGAGTGTGATTGCAGTTGTAAATCCTTGAAATGCCATTTTTGGGAACTCAAATCAATAAACAAAACTGTAAACATTTGAAGAGTTCAGATGCAAAAGCCTCTAAATGCCATTTTAAATTTTCTTCTAAAATGACCATTTTTATCAAGATTGTATATTTAAGTTCAGTAATTTCACTTAAATAACATTTAATAGGTAATTATCATTGCCATTTAAGTGAAATCACTGAACTTAAATATACAAGCTTGATAAAAATGATCATTCTAGAAGAAAACTTCAAATGGCACTTAGAGGCTTTTGCATCTGAACTCTTCATTTAGAAATTGGGTCAAAATGCAGATGAATAGAGCATCTATTTAATTTGATTGAAAAAAAAATGGTTTAATGCCATGTAAATTTGTTTATACTTACAGTATGCTATAACAGAGAAAGCCAATTTAAAAACTCTCAATTACAACTCAATTAATGACTTCATATTTTTTGCTATTATTATTTTTATTGCATTATTTGCTATTTTTAATTTTGTAATTTCTATAATGTTGGTTACTAATTTGAATTAATTGTTCATAAACCATTTAAAAGTTTGGGCTCAGTAATCATGATAATAATACTTTCATTCCTCCAGAATTCTGTCAATTATATTAGAATGATTTCTGAAGGATCATGTGACACTGAAGAAAATTCAGCTTTTCCATCATAGAATTACACTTAAATCTGTCTTTAAATCGCTTTTATAAATCATCTGTCTTCTTCATGTGTGTTTGCACACAACTGTGTTTCAGGTGTTGGCAGAGACGCAGCGAGAAGAGGAAGGTGATGAAGAACAGAAGCCCATAGAGACACCACAGACTTCAAACTCTGCTACGGACCGTAAGAAAGCAGGGAAAAAGAAAGGTGAAGACCCTCCACTCCATCATACGGATGAGTTTCAGCACTGGTGTGTGTTGACATGAGGGTGTGTGTGTGTTTTAGGTGCTCCCACCCCTCCTCAGGTGCCCAGTCCTCTGCCCACAGTGGTGCAGAACCCTGAGGAGGTCAAGAGGAAGGCAGAGAGGAAGAGAATCAAACTGGAGTTCACATCCGCACTGAAACGTGAAGGTACGCCGTGAGCTTTTGGCCGACATCGTCTCATGGTTTTGTATATCACTGTGTATATCAACAGTACTGAGTTTTATGATATGTAAACAGTCAGAATGTGCTGTGTGTGTGTGCAGAACATGCGGTGAAGCTGCGTTTGGATCTGGTGAAGGCTCATGCGCTGAGAAACGTGAGCAGTCTTCAGCTGAGAGCGGAGCAGGTCTACAGGAACATGGAGGAGTGGCTGGGAGCTCGCTTTCTGTCTGAGATCAACAGGTGAGAGGAGGAGGACACGGTCTCGGCTTTCTGGATTGTAATCCATTTAGCTGAAGAGATGAAAGATGATTGTACTTATAAATGGCTGAATATCTCAAATAAATGGGTCGTATGTCACTCCCAAAACCACAATATAAAGCAAAAAAAATTATAATAATTGCTAAAAAAGAAAAACAAAACTATTATTACTAACAAATTATTAATTAAGATTAGCATAAATATAATTTACTACAACAAACTGTGATTTATACAATTTTGTTTTGCAATATAAATTCTTAGTCAACTAATTTTTTATATTTTAAATATACTTAAGCTATACAATATAGGCCAAAAGTTTGGAATAATATATATATATTTTTAAATATTTTCTTAAGGTTTTTGCAAAAAGGTTCTTATGCTCGCCAAGTCTGCATTTATTTAATAAAAAGTATTGGGATTTTTATCACAATATTAATGTTAGTAATATTGTCATTTTTATTTCAATTTAAATGAAAATGTAATTTAAGCCGCCTTCAGTGTCATATGATCCTTTATAATAAGAAATATTTCATGAGCAGCAAATCAGCATATTAGAATGATTTCTGAAGGATCATGGGAAATAGAAATTGTAGTAATATTTCACTATATTTCTGTGTTTACTGTATTTTTGATCAAATGAAGCAAGACTTATTTTAAAAACATTTTAAATTGTAATTTATTATTATTTCAAACTTTTGACCAGTAGGGTCAATATTTTTAATACTTTTAATATATTTTCTTCTGTTCAATGAAAAAAAAAAAAGATTTAGTTATTTACCCTTAAAATATCATATTATGTGCTTCTCATCTCATCATACTGTAGACATGTATATGTGGATAATATGTTTGCATGTGTTTGTAGTATCGACCAGCTGGCAGAGTTTGTGCGGAAGCACATTGAGAATGCAGTTCAGATCCATCATGAGCTCGTTCTGCAGAGCGCTGATTTCTGCGTGGATGGAGACACACGTGTGGTGGCGAGTCCAGTATCCGCTCCGCGCCGATCGCTGCTGGAACAGCCCAGAAACAGCACTCTCACAGTCCAACAGCTGCACGTCCTCTGTGCTCAGCTGAGCAAGAGCGCCCCGACTGGTCAGACTCAGCGTTACTACACAACATGCCAGGGATAGTTCACCCAAAAATAACATTTCTGTCAGTTACTTGTTTTTAGATTGAATAACTCCTTTAAAATTGTGTGCTAAACTGAATGAACAGAATGAGAGTTAAGCAGAACTGAACTGAATTGAACATGCTTCAGTTGGTAACTCTATTGTGTTGTGTGTTTAGGTCTGCTGTGCAGTAATGAGTTGACTGAAATTCTGCATGAATTAACTTCTCCTCATATGGGTAGTGATGTCCTGCCTGAGCCCTGGATGCATATCACTCCCTCACAGGTAATCTTCACTCAAACGCCTCCGTCTCGGACTAGCAGAGCAAATTATGGTTTATTGTTTGTCTTTGGTTGGAAACATTTTGCTTTGCAAACCATTGCTTAAAGTCCCCATGAAATCAAAATTGACCATACTTACTTTGTTTGCCTAAATTGATCGTTTTGTGGTGAACAATTCAAGCAAGTCAATCCACACACAAAAAAATGTTGGCTTCGTAATCTTTAATCAAATTTTGAAAATGCCCCTCCCCTCTGCATTGGAGGACCTTGCCCGATGACGTAGGCTTTACGGTTTGGGTGTTTCCTTAACATCCATAACCACGCCCCTCCAACTGACAGCTGCTGTGTGTTTGCGAGCGCCGAGCGAGCATTGATTGACAGCGTGTGTAAACTTGCATCATCCTCCATATCAGAATGAAACACCCATTTTTCTAGATCCAATCAGATGCTAGTTGGAAAAAAAAACACGCCCACTATTTTGCCTCATTTTTATTCCGTTTCTCTCGGAAATACGTCACAACACTGGGGAAAAGTCGTTTGCAACTTCCGGTTCACGGGGACTTTAAAGTTGACATGAAACAGAAGTTGTGATAGTCTTTTGTTCCCTAATGTGACGTATATCCAAGCTCCTCCAACCAGAAGATAAATATAGGGCGGGAAATCATTTCGTTCATCAGGAATTGATTGGATGGTTGTGGTTTGCTATTGGTGGATCTCATGTGAGTGACAGGTTGTCCCGCCCTCACGCCAGTGAACACATCATCAATCAGAAGAGAAGAGATGACGAAGTTTTTTTTATTATTAAGAATACAAGTCCACATTAATAATAATAAAAAAATATGTTCATTGTGCACTGATAAATCATTTATAAAATAAACTGCAATATTCCATAAAAAATAAGAATTGTCCATTTGTCATGGTGACTT